TCCCTCTCTCTTCTCCTCTTTTCTTCTCTCTTTCCCTCCCCTCTCCTCCTCTCTCCTCTCCCCTCCTCTTCCCTTCCTTCCCCTCTCCCATCCCATCTTCTTCCCTTCATTTCTCCTTCTCTCCTTTCTCTTCTCCCCTCCTTCCTTCCCCCTCTTTTCCTCCCTTCTCTCCTTCCCTCTTCTCTCCCCTGCCCCTTTATTTTCATTTCCTCTGTCCTCCTTTCCCTTTCTCTTCTTCCTGTGGTCCTCAATGGCCATCATTCTTTGAGAAGGTCCCACAGTAATGTTTGGAAGTAGATTCCAGCCTTGCCCTAGAAAACAGAGGGCTGAGCATTGTGGAAGCAGTCCTTTGTCTATTCCTCACATACCCCACACTAAATGTTTAAGAGGTGCAGAACTCCGGATAAGAAGGGAGGGGTAGCTGAACAGAAGTGTTGACATGGGGGGAGGGGCTGGTTATTTCCAGAGAATTCCTGACTTGAATTTGATTGTGTTGAGGGCCATGGTAATTCTGTTGATTGACCATCCAGGACTCGGTTTCACCATGTGAAAAGTTAAGGCAATGATATTAGTAAATCATAACACTCATTTAAAACTCTAGAGGAGAGCTCATCGGGCCTAGTTGGGGTCAGGCAGGTCCTGGGTGCGTCCTAATACACTATGTTTAGCTTTTCATACAGCCCTTCAAGGAAGGTATTATTAGCCAAGTATTTACAGATGAGCAACCAGTTTGGTGAGGGTAATGCACCTGCCTAGTGGAAATACTATATGAAGCCAAACTTGAGAGCCATTTGCCTTTTAAGTGATGGGAATTGAACCCAGGGCCTTGCACATGTTAAGTACTTTAGCATGGAGTAATACTCTCTCCCGAAGCCAATTATTTTTCTACCTGCAAAGATAATTCTCACAATATTCTCTCAAACAATGAGGTGAGAAGAGGTGACTTCCTTTCCTGCTTCTGTTTGCACAGTAGGTCCTGTGTCATGGAGGGCTTTTCTTTCAAAAGCTGTCCAGAGGACAAGTGATGCATTATTTCTTCAGTTTCTGACAACTTCACAGAATGACCTCAGTAGACCCTTGGCATTTCAAGCATGCATGGTTATGGAATGCTCTGGTTTAAAATTTTAATTGAAGGCCCTTACCTGAATGTGCCTTGATTAGCTGGTGTTCTGTCCCTGGCTCCCAGGGAGCCATAGAGCCTTCCAGTCCCTCTTGTTCACCTCCCCCTACATGGAGAGAGGGGCTTCCCTCCCCTCCTGCCTAGCTGCAGCTCTATTCTATTAGCACAGCCAGCAGGCTCCACTGGGGCTCTTGAGCTCACTGGCAATTTGGATGTCAGTAGCTGGGAAAAATCAAGCTTAATATTTGATGACATTACAAAGTCAACCTGTTCTCTTTTCATCCCAGACAAAGTCCAAAAGCAGAGTTCTTACCAGGACGTTCCCCAAGGAAGCAGGAGACAGTTGGTCTGGGAGCCACAGCAGGATGGTGAGGAGCATGGGGCAGAAACACAGCAAGCTCGGGCTCTGGTGTTGCTGGCCAGACTGTTGACCTTGGGTGAATCTCCCTAGTCCCCTCTAAGCATTAACTTCTTCCTCCACAAATGATTGGCCTCCCAGACTCTGTGTACTGTGTCTGAAACTGTCTTTAACACAGATTGGCTTGTGACAGTCTGTCTATACATGGTGCAAACTTTGGGAATGGCCAGTGGTTTAAATTTTATTTTATTTTTAGGGGAGGAGTCAGAAAAGTAAGGACGGCACCCTGGAGACCAGATGAAGATGGGAACAGTTCTACTTGAAGGAACCGCGAAAGGATCAAGATGGCCGAAAGGATCAAGATGGCCTGTCCCTGTGCCTGGGATCCAGGCTGGAGATCAGAGGCTTCGGGGGCCTGCAGGAGAAACGGAGGAGTTCTATGGACACAGCTGGACTTTACTTTCCTCGTCTGTGCTTTGATGCTCAAGAGAGGCTTTGGGTTCCATTGTCACTGCCGTATTCACACTGTCCTGTTCTGTCCGCCTCCCCAGCATCTGAGCGTGTCCCCACACAGTGGTACACAGTAAGACCATGTATCTATAGACCCTGGTCCCAGGGTTCAGTTCCCAGCACCCACATGGCAGTTCACAACTGTCTGTAACTCTAGTCTCAGGGGGATCCTATTCCCTCTTCTGACTTCTGTGGGTACTGCATACACATGGTGTGCAACATTCAGGAAACACTCACATACATAAAATAAAAATAAATAAAATCTCAAAATATCTAGAAAAGAAGCAACGGAATCCATAGAAACAGATAAATACATCTGAATCTTATTTAGTACCCTAAGGTACTAAATCCACGTGTTTTACTGACTCAGAGATCTGCATGTATTTCATGCAAAGGGGACCAGGTTGGAGTTTTATGGGAGACTATCTGACCAGAGGATGCTGAGTTTATTAGGAGGGCTTCTACAGTGCCTCAGAAATATGCACATACTCTACAAGCCAAGGAAATGAACTCCCCTGGAGCTGGGATGCCTGGACATTTCACTGTGTCCCATCCTTGGAAACAAATGATGTGCCTTCCAGCTTCCTCTTGGGGACCATGGTTTTCAATGCAGAATGTAGGACATGGTAGGTCATGCTTTTTTGTGATTTTTTTTTTTTTTTAGTCCAGTGATTTCTGGCTTGGCTTAGTCTCTTTAAGACCTCATGTGAAAGAAATGATGGGAGATGTTTTATTCTCATAATCCTTTCTAAGGGGTGAGACAAACCCCAGAAACTGTGTGTGTGTGTGTGTGTGTGTGTGTGTGTGTGTGTGTGTGTGTGTGTATTCCCAATATATTAGAAATAGTCATAGTTCATGCTAACATGGACCAGGAAAATCTCATGAGGCCTCAACCATACACAAGGAATTACAGGCAGCTAAGGAATTCTGTGAGTCAGAGAAATAGTCTTCCCTAGTGATAAGCAAACCAAATGATATCCAATGTCAAATAGTCAGCCATGAAAATGTATATACACAAGTAATATTGTGCAGACTGAGGATGTTGCATTTATGTATTTAGGAAATACACACATATAAGTATATAACAACAATTAAAGAGGCCATCAATTTGGAAAGAATGGGGGAAGAGCATAAATGGGAGGTTTTGTAGGAAGGAAAAAGAAGGGGGAAATGATATAATTATATTATAATCTCTAAAAACAAAATATTAAAAAATATACACAAAATATAATCTTAGCTGAATGGCCATGAACAAAATAAAAAGATGAACAACAAACTGGAAACATGCATGTGTGTTATCTCAGAGTTAAGGCTGCTTCCTCTACTATATTAATAGCATTTACAGATCAGTAAGAAAAACAGGCAAGGACTATAAGCAGAGCCTACAAAAAAGGAAACAGGGCTGTGTTTTAAGCATATGAAAGAGCAAGCAAGCACGACGTGAGTCCGCTTCTCAGAATCCTTGTGAACAACCAGGTGTGATGTGCGTGCTTGTGATCTCGAAGCTGGGGAGGCAGAGTCTGGAGGAGCTCTGCAGCTTCTGGCCACAAAGCTGTTCCAAATGGGTGAGCTCCAGATTCTGTGAAAGATTTTGTCTCAAAAAAGATGGTGGATAGGACGGGTGGGATGGCTCAGTGGATAAAGACCCTTCTACCAAGCCTGACAGCCTTCGTTTGATCTGCAGAACACACATGGTGGAAGGAGGGAAAGGCCTCCCTCAAGTTGTTCTCTGTCATGTCATGGTATGCTCATGTGTGAGTGCGTACACATGTATGCACGCTCATACACACACACACACACAGCGTTTAAAAAAGGTAAATTGCTCTTGAGGAATAGCAGTTGAGCTTGACCTCTGGCCTCTACCTGTATGCACTCACACATGCATGTGCACCTGCATATTCAGACCCACAGACATGCAAACACGCATCCACCCACATATATGGGATCACGTACAGGCACACACACACACACACTCACACACACACATACACACAGCTATGTGGAGAGAATATTTTTCATTCCTAGGTTAGCAAAGATTAGAAAGTTTGAAAATACTGGGGGGGGGAGAGAAAGAGAGAGAGTGTGTGTGTGTGTGTGTGTGTGTGTGTGTGTGTGTATGTGTGTGTGTGTGTGTGTATGTGTGTGTGTGTGTGTGTGAACGAACATGGGTATAATTTAACTCAGATGGTCGACAATATCTTATTTACTTATGAGTCAAAATTGTGATTGTAAGCCACAAATGATAGGTTTGCCCACACATGTTGAAGTTCCTCTGTGAAACAGGTTTTCCTAACATAACACTGAAGACGTTCCCCGGAGCTTAAACAGCGGCAGGTGTAACAAGGGAAGTATCTGGACTGTACTTGGGAGCGGATGGCCTCTCCATGGCCAGCCTTGGTGGTGCCCACTGCCCCTCTTTAAAAAGACCCCCTCTTTACCCCCTATCCCTGTCTGCTCTTGAAAAGGTCTCCAACTAGGAGACCAGTGCCAGACCTTCAAACAGATTCACTACCCAGGGGAGTTGCCTGGGGACAGGCTGTGCTCTCTGTGACAGTGACAAGGAGATGGCAGACCCTGCTCTTCCAAGAACCTCCCTGGTGTGCACCTAGAGGCCAGAGACTTAACTTTGCAGCATTAATTAGGAGAGACGCAGCATTTGGAGACAATCTGTTCACAAATCCTGCCCAAGACCTGTTTCCACCCTGGGCTCTTTGCTGATCACTGCCAGGGACCTGACTCCATGTGCCTCGATAGAATTCTCTGGCAGAATGTCTCCAAATGTGTGGACAAATCTGTCTCCTGCTTCTTCCCTTTTGCTTCAAGGTGAAACAGGGCCTCCTCTGGGAAGGAGATGAGCACTAATTACCTGCTCACTGCGGAGCTGTGTGTTGCCCCCACCATGTTAACTGCCTAGAGGTTTCAGACTGTTTCTTGAGAAGGTGGGAGTCCACATAACGATGACTCATGGGGTCTCGTGGGGTCTGTGGACCTGCTCCATTTATGCTTCCTCCTCCACCGCCTGATTCCCCGATGGGGAGTGGGGCCTACTTGCCAACTGCTGCCAACTGTCCTTAGCTTTCCAGAGTGCTGTCATTAATTTGGGGCCAAAGTCTTGAATGTTAACGTCCATTAGAATCACTGGGGGACAGTTAAAGAAATTCCAAAGAGGCTAGACCTTATCGACACAGGTTGTGATTGAATTAAGAGGTTGATGGAGCTCCCAGATAATTTTTATTTAAATCCCTCCTCTGACTTACGGGGAGCACACTCACTGGGATGCTTTTAAGAGTGAGTGGAGGTACGATGAACCTTTATTTGGGGGTACTCTACATAAACTGGACTAGTTTTTCTAGCAGTCATGATACGCTGCTTTGACCTTGACAGAACCCTGACAACCACCCCCTAAGAGCGTATGATCATAGCTGTTTTCATCTATGTGAGTGATGACCTTGGCACTTTTACACGTTGCATACAGTTACATGAGTGTGCTATGAATCTGATTTTGAATTCTGTTCTCTTTCTGATGGTCACAGATTTCCATTACACACGAAACGAGGAGGGATACAGCTTTTAATCACTCTGAACCCTTGATATTCCTCCCCTTATGGTAATACAATAGAGCTCACCTGGCATATCCACAATGCCACTGTCCTTCCTTCAGCATCTTGAGCCAAGCGCACTGGATCTGGCTTCAGGAAAACACTCTGACCCCCCAGTTTCCTCATCAATTAAATGAGGCCTGTATTTCCACCTGTCATGTTAGGAGACACACTTCAGCACATGCTGAGAGGGACCCAAAGTTGGGGTACACTGTTCAGCAGAGAGCAGAGGACAGACATATCCCCACTCTCAAGTTAGAGATGCCTCTTCCGCTGGTAGCAGGTACCCGTGCTAACAGCATGTCTTCAGTTGACGGCAGTCTTTAAATCCTTGTAGAAATTATGGGTGATAATTCCCACATTGTTAAGGAGGAATGAAAGAGTGTTTCACACTCATCTGACACCTTGAACAAACCAAGTCTGTTACAAATATTATTTTTTGCATAATGTGTTGCTTGAATAGTAAAAATAAGTGTTGAGCCTGTCTATCTATTCTACAGATGGAAAAACTGTCGTACCGTAGCCTGGAAAGTCTCATGATGGTACACTGTGACAAGAAGAATGTCTCAGTCTCTTCCAGATGCTACAACAAAACACCATAGACTGGGCATCTTCAAATAGCAGCCATTTTTTCTCAGTTCTGCCAGGTGCAAGTCCCAGGTCAAGGTGCTGGCAGGTTTGGTACATGGTGAGGACCCACTTCCTGGTTTGTGGATGGCACCTTGTTTCGAAGTCCTCACTCCTTCCAAGAGGCAGGATGGTCCCTCGGGTCTCTTCTATGGGGGCCATAATCCCACTCACGAGGGACTCCTCCATGGCCCAATCACCTGCCCTCCTCTTATGGTGATGAGATTTCAGACTATGAGTCCAGGCATGGTGGAGCAAACACATGGTTTGAACCATAGAGTGGGAAGGAGTCTGTGTTTAGCGAGGACCTTGGTTTGTCATGCTTGCTTCACTTTCCTTGATCGAGATACTTCAGCTGTCCTGCAAAGCTGTTGCTGTCACCCCTACATCTGGGCTGAGGAAACACAGAGTTTGCGTAATTTGCCCAAGGTCACACAGCAGCATGGTCAAGTAGGCTGAGGGTTGGATTCACCTTGACTGCAGAACTTGAGCCTAGATTCCATCAGGCATGACCATGCTTCTTAGGTCCAAATCTGGGATTTTCAGAAAATCTCTGGTTTGATTATATCCCTTTATACCTTGACTCCAGCAATGATCTTGAAAAAGATATTGGGGCCCTGACACTTGGGGTCATGGCTTTATGAGGTGATGCCTTCCACCTTAGCCTTGACCTTTCTCTAAGCATTTATTGGCCTTCAAACCTGTTGAATTCTGTGCCCCAGTCAATAATGTCTGTGACCTGGTTCCTGCCCTTTGAGCCTTCCAATTATCAAGGGAGGCCTTTCAGAAAGAGGAGGAACCTAAGGTAGAGTGAGAGATACACTCAGTAAGGTGGGCCCGGAGAGGGTGTGCTGGCTTATCAGCCTGCGGAGGGGGTGGGGGGGGCGGATGACACGGGATGGGACACACACGCTAAACATTGCTACCAGACAGGGAATCCAGCATGGATGAGGTGAGTTTTGAATCTGGGCTTTGAACCAAATTGAGATTGAGGAGGGGGAGAATGTGTAGACGGAAGCACACGTGTGGAAGCATGGAGGAGAAAAAGACACTTTGTGCCTTCCAGACAGGACCAGTGGTGCTGTGCAGGGTGGCATGGGAGGGCAATGGGGTGGGTGGGGTGAGAGGCATCCCCTAGGCTTCCGGGGCTCCCTCTGCTCTGGTTGTGATGGATTCTGCCCGCACACTGCTTCTCTTGCTGCACTTCCCACTCGGCATGCAGAGCTCGCCTGTCCCCCAGACGTGTCTGCTGAAATTAGGCTAAAAAGGGAAAATGACTTCATCGTGGTTGTTTTCTGGTGGCTCCTTCTCCCAGGACCCGTCCGGCTGCATCTGTCTCAGGCTACCCAGAGAAGATGATGTTTGCACCCGCTGCTGATGGGCCTTCTGGATCATTCCATCTGCCATGCCGCAGTGACTCCACTAAGCTCTGTTCTTCAGGAGGCCTTTGCTGCTGTCCAATAGTTTGCTCCACACATGCAGCAAGTTCCCTCTCATTCAAAAGAGCAGGCTTGGAAATAGATTCCGCATCTGTTTCTTTGGAACAATAGAACACATTTAAACCACGCCGCTGTGGCTCCCCGAGTTTTATTAGCATTTCACCTGTGGTTTGGTGACACACACAAGCTGGCTTGAAAACCATTGAAAAGGGATTCTTTGTTGATTAATTTGTTTTTCTTTCTCATGACTCTGCCACTTAGGAGACATTTAAATTGTATTTCTCCACTTTGTGCAAAACTAGTCTGTGCAGGCAGAACATGGGTAGTTTTGATGATGTAATGGGAGAAACTGAATTTGAAATTTACAGAATAAAACAGGCCTGGAGTGAGAGGACTTCAGAGGCCTAGGGGTCCACTGTCTCTCCCTATGGCTATTGGTGGCAGGCTTGCTACCATTCCTGATATCCAGCATTTTGGCTTCTGCTCTGATATCTCCAGGGGCAGGGTACTCAGTACCTTCATATCAGCCATGAGCTCTGCTCATATCATTGAACTA